GATTTCACCATTAGATTCCTCTCTCCCTCTTAATTCTACAAGAGTATGAGGTTGGCGGGGACCAAATATATTGAACCCCTCTCCACACTCCCTCTCTTTCGCTCTCCCTCTCTCTAACAAAAGAATTAAGATTTATATGAAAGCCTTTATTGTTTGGAGGGATAAACTTAGAAATAATAGTTCATATGATATTATCCTATATGGAGGAAATAAAAGGAAATAGAGGAAGTAAGAATGTCTTGGTTAATAGATCACATCAACTTATTACATAGTAATCTTCAATCTATTAATAGCCAAAATATTAGGAGAGTGAGTTGGAGAGAGAATAAGAGTTAAAGCTAATATTCTCACCTCCATTAGCCAATTATTTAGGAGAGTATGTCATATACTATCCCATATGTTGGCTATTAGTAATCTATTAACCAATACATTTTTACTTCCTTTATTTCTTGCTCTCTTTTTACCTTACTCTCTCCATTCTACCTTTTCCTCTTCCTCTCCCTTCTCTCCCTCTCTATATCTCTCCCTCTCTCTCCCTCCCTCTTCCTCTCTCCCTCTCCCCACCTATCTCCCTCTATCTCTCTCCCTCTATCCCACTCTCCCTCGCTTTCCCTATTTCATATTTAGGACTATTAGGGTGATTCACTCTCTCCCATCTCCCTCTTATGGAGAGATGGAGAGAGGGAGAAAGCATCTAATGATAGGGTCTCATAAAAGGGAAAATCGCACTCCGTTGCCACAACATCCAAAAGAGAATTCATGTCAATAAGAACTAGGGGCGCAGATCTTTCACCCTCTCTCCCCTCTCTATCTAGTAGTAATAAAGCTATTAGATTAAGTCCTCTAATCAATAAAGCTGAATATATCCTTTTTCACATGATTGGAGCCTTTACCTAGAGAAAAATGGTTATCTCTCCATTGTTTTTTTGGATCTATATCATAACACCCTAAAATCACTATAGAATCACTTTAGGAGATCATATGAAGGAAGGAAAATAGGGACATGCTAGATAGGAACTTATATACTATCATTTCTAGAAGGGAATGGATTACTAACATAAGCATGGAAGGCCCGTCGATTCTTCTCTCTCTCTCGCCCTCTCTTTCCTAACAAACTTCACCAATTTATCATATATTGGTTAATAGTTATGATAAATTTAGTGAATATCTTATTATATCTGAATAATATTATAATAATTTAATATTATCCAAGATCATATATATAATGATTAATATTGTAGAGAAATTAATATTGTTTTAATATTCACAAGGATCATGAAACTAGATATTACTCGGTTGATAATAAATATAAATTCAATGTGTTGGATTCTTGGAATGATAATAGGGTATTAATCCATCCCTATAACTTGAAAATGAAGATATTAACCTAACCTTCAATATCTACATGATCGTTTTTTAGATCCTTATCCCTCCTTAAATTATAGCTAAGAGGACCAATTAACATAGGGAACCCATCTCTTCTCCTATTGGATATAATCTAAAGGAGAACACCTTATTTCTTGGTCATAAACCTTGTGAAGTGACATAATGACTTAGGGATCATATCCTTTTGGATGACCTAGGGGTTATTAACCAACTCAACCCTCAAATATGTGCTCCACTTGAATAATAGAGGTCAATAGATATTTTACTAGATAATATTAAACTCAAATTTTTTTTAATATCAAATGACCATCTCTCGTTCCCAAGGACTTTGTGAGACAACCGTACTCTCCCTCTAATTGTTACTTAGGAATTAGAGTTAGGGTCTATTTATTAATTCTCCATTCAATCTAGGAGAGGAAGAGGTAACTATTAAAATGGTGAATTTACCTATAAAGAACATAAACAATCAGTTAAGAGAAAGACATGTAAAGGCTAATGATAATTCACCAAATTAGGAGCCTAACGAATTACCCTCTTTGTATTATAATAGTTTATAATACACCATGGGATTATTTAGTAAATTTTAGGTAAATTATATTTGATTTAAATCATCAATAGGTATTATATCAATATTTAATGATATCATTTATAATTGTCTGAAAATCATATTATGCTCCCTAATATGATCTCCACATGAGCAATGTGGCACCAATTTAGGAGAGGAGGGGGTTCTATCACATACCCGTGAATAATCGTCACGGTTCATATCTTGTTTTAACCAAATAATACTATTCTATTCTTCATTTGACCTTCTATCTAATGGTAAGTCTTATGATGAAAGAGAGGAATACATGAGAAAAGGGGGCAATAGATATTAAAAGGACATCTATGGACCATGATTTATTCATAATAATTAGCTTAGCGAGGGTATGCTATAGTTGGATTAGTCTCTATCCGTAGGCATACGATTAGGGGTATGTTCTTGGGAGGGGTGATGTATAGATAATACAATATTATTTGTTAAAACAAGATATGAACTGTTACGATTATTCATGGGTGTGTGATGGATAGTAGACAAATATTTTAGGGGGGCATGATACCATTAAAGTGAGCAAAGAGGGAGAGAGTGGGAGAGGGATAGAGGGACTAGAGTATCTTCTAGTCACTAGGGGTATTTCTATTATATTGCAAAGAACTAATAGTTAGAGGGTGATAATAGATATACTTATGTTAGCATAAAACTATCGCTAGTCTGGATTTGGCCTCTATACAGGAATATAGACTGTAATGGGAATTAAATACAAACTTTCCTCCCAACGGTCACCAAGAACTTGTTTGGTCAGCTATATTCCAAAGGCTACGCTATATCGCCTCAATACCTCTCTTAATCAAGGCGGGATATTGTATCATTATTATTCTGATAATAGGGAAAGTCTATATTTAATTCCCATTACAATCTATATTCCTATATACAAGCCAAATTTGGACTAACTATAGTTTTATGCTAACATAAGTATATCTATTATCACCCATCTAACAATATATCCTTTTGGAAAAGTATTATAAGCTATCCCTGTAATCGACCTATCTTAAGTGACCCTAACTTAGTGATTACCATCTAAACATGGAAAGTAATAATAAGATGTTTAATACGATCACATCTTATTTATACTGGAAGGATAAATCCTTAGTATACTTGGATGATATTTAGGAGCAATAGAACTTTTATTCTGACGCCTTAGTATTGTAATTAATGGAGACTATCTTTCATTTGCTATATAGACAAAAGGGACATGGATTTAAGCTCCACGGCAAAAGGTCCAATTAACCACCTTAATTATTGTTTCTCTCGAGGACTCTATTTAAGGATGTTGCCTATCATGTGGAGGACCCTCTCTCGAACATGGAGGATAAACATCCACCTATTGAACGGTCTTTCAAATACCCTTTACTCCACCTTAAAGGAGAGGCAAACGCTTGAGAGAGAGGGAGGCTATCCATTAATAATTTGGCACGAGCCTATTAATGGCAAAAGGATAGTGATGGTCATTCAAAAAGTTCAGGATCCTTGATAAAGAAATATTTTCCAGATAAGATTCACAATAAAATTGCGATTTGTGAGGGACAAAATATTAAGGATTATTGAAAACAAGTGATAATCCCAAGATAAAGCACATCCTATATCATATTGATATTCAAACATCCTTATAATTATATAACCGATAATTATTTAAATATGTTATTTGATAATAATATAATAAGTGCTCACTTTATTACTATATGTTTTGATAGTTTATTATAGCATTCTATAATTTTAAAAAATTTCTTGTGTGGATGCTTAAACTACGTAGATTATCGATAGAGGCGGTGTACATGCAAATACACCATATCATTTCTCTCTCCCTCCCTTTTCCTCTCTCCCTCTCCATCTCTCTCCCTCTATCCCTCTCTCCTTGTAAAATATAGAAATAGGTTATATCTTCCGTAATGCTTAGGAAGTTGATTTACCTATTTATAATGGATTTGTTGCCTTTTGAGTTAAAAAGCCATCCATTTATAGATGTTGTCTTAGTGCCCACGGAGAGGATAGAGGAACAATGAAACATTAGCTAATGGAGGTGTCTCGGTCGATTAAGCCCTCAAATCTTTAGGTGCAATTTGTCGTGATTGACATCTCTACCCCATCTCTAACACATCCAAAAGAATATGGGTAACCTATTCCCTCCTTTATCTTAATGAGCTTTATTTAATGGCTAGTGGTCCAACTTGGAGGTAATTAACCTTATTGGACCTTAGAGGGGAATGATCATGTAGGGTAATAGCGATTTGAATAGGATAGGGAAAGAGGGGAGGATATGTTCCTCCAATCCTTGTATAGTTGATATGGGCATTAAGACACCTTTACAAGCATATGTACGAAAGGAGGTACATATAAGGTTAATTACCTACCATGGAATGGTAGTCCAAATATAATGCGATTGATATTAATCCCTCCACAATTTCTTCCACCTATTAGAATGCCCTTAAAGATCCCTCTTGGTTAGCCTTAATGATCTTATTTAACATTAAGGTCTAAATAAAAACGTATTTAAATGATCAAGGGGTCTATAATACCCTCATTTCAAGTTATTTACCCTCTCCGCATAGATAGAGACTACTAAGAATATCCCAAAGGCTATTAGGAGAGTTGGTTAATATTTAAATATTAACAAAATTCGGTCATAATAATGAGGATGATATATCTATGCGTTAATAATGGTTAAGTCTCTTGGGTGAAGCTAATGGATGTATATAGAACAATTTCTAACGTTGGGTTACACGCTCGTGTCTCTATGATATCTCTCTATGTCCATACTTATTCTTGTAGTTCCCGATCAATCATAACTAGGTCTAAATATTATACACTTATTTACATTACTTCAACTTTAGTACTAATTGTAAAGAAAAATTAAAAATTCATAACTCGTTTTTATTAATTAACAAAACATCTATACATCACATTTAAATTTACTCAATTCTATATTAAGTTGATTCCTTTATAGATAATAGGAGGATGAACTTACCAATAAGTATCATTTTAATACTTTGATATCAATTATTGGGTCATCAAAATAATGTCGAGCATCAAAGACCTCGTGGAAGGTTTATTAGAAATAGAAGATTATGATCTCTTGGAGTTAATTTTACCTAGTATTATTCAGAATACTAAAAGGAGGATAATCAACGGTAAATCGAATTATCGGGGGATAGAGGGAGGGGGATATGATCTCATTATAGACTTAATTGATTAGGTGAACCCTAATCGTCATAATATAATTGGTCGGCGTTATCCTATATACGTAATTTTCCTATTATGGTGATTGAATCAATGTAAGCTATCTATAGCCCTTTTGGCCAAATTTTGGTAAGTTCTCCCTATTAAAGGACCATCTCACCTACAAACTTAAGCTAATAGTTGATGTCTCATAGTATAATTTATTTTAGTTTCTAATACACCCCTCAAGTGAAAGCCCCAACATTGGATTTGAAACTTGCATAGATCCAAATTGCCTTGTGCTTAATACTTGAGAAATTAGGGATGGTGAGACTTGAACTTAGAACCTCTTGGTCAATCAAGTTTTGATACCATATTAAAGTACCATCCAACCTAAGAGCTGAAGCTAATAGATGGAGCCTCATAATATAATTTATATTATTCTCTAACACTCCCTCCTTCTCCCTCTCCGCTCTCCCCAACTTAATTATGCTAAAAAGTTACTTATATCATTGTTAGAACAAAACATTAATTTATAATATTGCCCCTGTATAATAAATTTGCATAGTAAGGTTTCATAACATTAACTATAGGTGATATTCCTTAGACATTGTGGCATCTCAAACCAAATTTGTAAGAAGAAACTATAGTTAGTGGCTCTATGAATTGGAAACAATCTATTGGTTGTATTAATTGATATACTAGTAATATTTAGCCCTCTCTCTTAGTTTTGAAGATTACTCTCTCATCATTATTTATGGCCTTCTTTATCATCTATCATGCTTAAATAGTCCCTCTATCCTTTCAAAACTTAATAGTTTTATTCCCCTTGGTATTATTATATACTACGAGAGGGAGAGAGATGCGATACAACTCTCCTTAGGTGGATAGAGAGAGGGAGATTAATTCCATGAGGATTGAGGATAGGTTATCCTATACTCCCAAAATTGGAATGAGGGTATTACCCTACATTGACCTACAATGTATAATCGGGAAATGGATAAGTTCAGTTCATCCGATTTCTCTTGGTCCAATATCTCAAGTCGTGAATGGTAAATAGCTTAATTACTAAAAAGTGGATTACGCCATGAACTGATTCAGAGGAACCCTAACCAACTATCTTCCTCCACGTGCAATATGAAACATTAGTAATTATTAAGAGAGAGGGAAACCAATTATGAGTTGACTATCCATTACAATAAGATTTCTATTTTAAGTTATTATCGACTATATAATAATATATAGTTTATCCATCACAATAGCTTAATTATACAATGTCCAAACTCTTCAGTCTCTCCCCTCCCTAGTCAATAATCCTTATTCCTCTATTTTAGAGGAACAATCCATCCGATGTTCCCCTTTATTTATCTTATATGCATTGCCTCATGGTTTGCATCATTTAGATTGTGCCTTTTTCTATTAGAAATATCCTAATAAACACGATATAGACATACCAAATAGATTAGGGTGAGTGATCGAGGGATAAGTATATAGGAATATTACCATAAGTTTATATTAGAGTATGGATATTAGAGTATTATTTATAGCTTTCAGATGGAGTGATCAATATTATCATATACTCATTACCTTTTATCAAGATACATGGCAACCACTCGTAAGTTGTCAATTCCTTAATATCAATGGCGATTATAAATGGGACCTTATAGGTCATGGTTTCCTTGATGATAGGGTGAATTTAATTGATAGATCTAAAGATCAATTCTATAGTTTATAGACTTACCTCTTATATTAGTATAATACTTAATATCCCTTTGGATTCCCCTACCTTAAGAGTTTCTAACACACTTACTGTCAACTTACTCCAGCATTAGTAATTATCAAAGTATAACGGATTATATTATTGGTCCCGAATTCGGTCACAGATTAATATTGTGTTAGATACTCCAATTAATCTACCTACCTCTCCGCCTTGATTTACTTTCACATGGACATGTTAATTGGTCCATTAGATATTCCTCCATTATTAATCCTATATTATAATCGAAGTATTGTCCTAATAATATCCTATACATCACCCATATATTACGATGATGGGTAATTACATAATAAGCCTTTCTAAATTATAATATGGTAAGGAGTTATGCGTTTAATTAGAATGATATTCCAAATTGTCTATCAAAATTGATTATAAAGCCCTTATTGGATATTTACCCACTCTTATATCACAATTTAAGAAGTTAATATAATCATGTGAATGGCCTACATGATTATTACTCTTGCTCAATATGTCATGTTATTCCCAAACGTTTAAAAGAGAATCATAAAATGAAAGATGAAATAGCATCTTATTGACAATAGGCTATATTGTTGATAACTAATCCCCCTATTCTTGCGATATATTTTTGGTAATTACGGGTGATGACATGTTTATACTAGTATATGGGATTAGCATGTAGGATAGTATATCACCAATATAATGAGATTACATAGGTTGGGGATTACAATAGTCTATAACAAATATAATTATCCGACTCGAGTGGGATTCCCATCATTTTTACAGTAAATAGGTGAATCTAAAACTAATGATGGTCCAAGCAAGTTGAAGAAGAATCTATATGATTAGTTAATATTATAATCTAAGGAGGTGGTTACCTCTTTCAAATGATGGGTAATTACATAATAACCCTTTCCGAATTATAATATGGTAAGGATTTATGCGTTTAGCTTCGATATTCCAAATTGTATATCAAAATTGATTATAAAGCCCCTATTGGATATTTATCCACTCTTATATCACAATTTAAGAAGTTAATATAATCATGTGAATGGCCTACATGATTATTATTCTTGCCCAATATGTCATGTTATTCCCAAACGTTTAAAAGGGAATCGGAACATCTTATTGACAATAGGCTATATTATTGGTAACTTATCCCCCTATTCTTGCGATATATTTTTGATAATTACGGGTGATCACATGTTTATACTAGTATATGGGATTAGCACGTAGGATAGTATATCACCAATATAATGAGATTACATAGGTTGGGGATTACAATAGTCTATAACCAATATAATTATCCGACATGCGTGGGATTCCCATCATTTTTACGAGTAAACGGTGAATCTAAAACTAGTGATGGTCCAAGCAAGTCGAAGAATAATCTATATGATTAGTTAATATTATAATCTAAGGAGGTGGTTACCTCTTTCAAATGATAGGGTCCGTACAATTTCTCAAAAACCTTTGGACCAAGAAAATATCATCCAAGTATTAACATATGTCTTTGGAGTCTGTAGTGGGAGGACCAAAAATCGTACATGCTATATAATATTGATGATATTAGAATGATAGATATTTTTTCATGAAATTGTGTGCGTTTTGATCTTGGAGAAAGATTGTTCTAGCTTATACAATTAAATAAGATTCGAGTGAACTAAGGATATATCGAGTGTTACATTAGATACCTTTGGATTTAATTTCCCTTCATCTCTCTCTCTCCCTATATTTGACCATGAGGGGACCAAAGATAGGAATAATGTGTAAGATCAATTAATTAAACTATCAATATAGACAGATTATAGGACTAAAGATGTTTTTGACGAGTTTAAGTTAGAGAATTGTCAAATATCGGTACCCAATAAACTCCTTCCCTCACATTAGAAAGTTATTAGATCGGTGACAAGATTACTTACCCGGATACAACACTTTTCTATTAAGTCCCTCTTGAAACAACCCATTGAAACAACCCAATCAAGTTTCTTTAGTATGGAGGATGAGAGGAAGAGAGAGAGAGGGATCTTTAAACTCTTAATCTCAAACTACTTTATCGTTGAGAAGAGAGAGTTATGTAAAGGAAAACATACCCTCTTTAGACAAATAGTAATAATAAGAGTAAGAGTGATGGTCCCTCTTTGTGATTACTTAAAGGTTGAATAATTGGTAATACATTAACTCAAGCCCATCCAAACATGGTTGGATTTTGGGCACCTACACTAATAATTACAAAGCCAAAATAATGGTTTTCATGGCTATCATGGTTTTGATGATATTAGAAATACTATAGCTTAAATGTTTTGACCCAATTATAGCAAAACATGGTTCACAAGATCAATTACTACGCCTATTTCGATTGTTATGCTTACCATCTCTTAGCAAGATATATCTTAGCATGGATAACTTTTGATTATTCACTCAACCCTATATAGAGTAATCTCTCAACTATAATCTCACTCTCTCCTATCTATCTTTTAGTATCAAATACCTCACCAATCTATTAATCCAATATATGATTTCTAATTAATTCCCTAGTTATTGAACAACCCATTGTTATAGTATAGGATGATGAGGATATCACTTCATTGTCTTATACTTGGGAGTAGGTTAGTATTTTTGTGAGGAAAAACACCCACTAGATGAAAATTGTCTCCCTGTCCCTTACTTCCACAAATTCAAATCTTGATATTTTATGCAAAATCGTATAACTAGTTTTATGTATAGAAAAAGAGCGGAGAGAAAGGGTTATTCTTAAGATTGGGCCAATAAGAATTACTTGGTATTCAAATAGCCATCCACTAGGAGAGAGGGAGAGAGAATCTAAAGATGACCAGTGTAAACATAACTATTAATATTACTTTTCCGAAGGGTCCGTTAACGATTAGAGCTTATCTAATTTAGAGAGAAGCTATCCTAAACATAAGAATGGGCCAATCACCTTGCTAGGAGGGAGGTAAAGAGAGGGTGGGAGAGAGATCCCACATTGCTTCACTCTTGGTACCTGCATAGGAGGGAGGTAAAGAGAGGTTGGGAGAGAGATCCCAAATTGCTACACTCTTGGTACCTACCTAAGCCTAATAGATTTAATTAAAACCCTTAAGATATTTTGATGAGAGGATAAACATCAACCTTATTGGATAGCCCATTAAAGGGAGAGATTTGAATTAAAGAATGTTAGAGAGTGGAGGAGACCTAGGAAAGGAATTCATAGAAAAGATGGTAAGGTGAGAGAATTCTCCATGGGTAAAAAGAGAGATAGAGAGGGAGAGGGAGGAAGAGGGAGAGGTAAAGGATAATCAATGGAGGTAGTGAAAGAAAGTAATGATAAAGATTAGGCCTATTGAGTCACCTTCTTTATTTTACCATATGAGGACTGAATTATATGATAAACATGAAACTCCCTCTATCTCCCTCTCTCACCCTCTCTCCTTTATCCACCCTCTCTCTTAAGATGGTACCACCATATCTCACTTCCTCTTTCCCTTGCCCTCCCTTGTTGGAGAGTTGTGGCACCATCTTATGAGAGGAGGGAGATTCAATAATTGTCAATCTTATCCAAGTCCAAGATTGGGCTTCTTAAATTATATTAGGTCAATTTTGTTATATACAACTTAATTATAATTAGAACTAATTAATTAAGTTAGATTTGATGAGCATATTCTACTACCTAAGGATCATGCATAAAAGAGCAATGAGAGAGGACTTTAATAGAGTAATAGAATCACCTTTGTACGAATTAGGATAAGAAAAAACTCAAAATTGGGCTGATAGTTTTTCTTCGACTTTTGCCATACTCATACTTGTTCCATAAATTCCAAAGCTCGAGAGAGGGAAAGAGAAATCGTGGGAGAGGGAGATAGAGGGATGGAGAGAAAGAGGGAAGGAGGGAAGGAGGGAGGAGGGGAGGGAAAGAGATAGAGATAGAGTGGGAGAGAGAAGCCTAATTTTGGACTTGGATAAGATTGATAATTCTTGGATCTCTCTACTCTCTTAAAACAGTCCTCCTCTCGTCCTCTCCCTTTGAAAAAATATCTCAAATGTCCCTCCCTCTCTGTCCCTCTATCTCCCTCTCACTCCCTCTCTCTTCCTCCTATTCCCTCTCCCTCTCTATCTCATGCTCCTTCCCTTTTGCTCCCTCTTCCTCTCTCCCTCTCCCTCTATCTCTCTCCCTCTCTCTATCCTTTCATCACTATCTCCCTCTCCCTTCCTCTCACTCTCTTTATCTCTCTCTTTCTCTCACCTTATCCCTATCTCTTTCATCCCTCTATTTCCTTTTCACTCCCTCCTTTCACTCTTGCACACTCTCTCCCTCAATCTCTTTCCCTCTCTCTCCTTCTCTACCTTACCCCCACTACCTCGCTCTCTATCTTCCTTTCTCTCCTTCTCTATCTCCTTCCTACTCTCCTCACCATTCCCATATCTCCCTCTCTATCCCTCCCTCTCCCTCTCTCCCTCTCTCACCCTTTCTCCCTTCCTCTCTCTCCTTTTTTGTCCCCTCCCTCTTTTACTATCTCCCTGTCTCCCTCTTCCTTTCCCTCATTCTCTCCCTCTTTTTCCCACTCTCCCATTCTCTCTCTCTCCCCTCTTTCCCTCCCTCCTTCTCCCTTATCTCACTCCTTTTTCCTCTCCTTCCCCCTCTCTCTCTCTCTCTCTCCCTCTCCCTCCCCCTCCCTCTCCCTCTCCCTTTGTCTCAATCACTCTCACTCTCTCTCCATCCCTCCCTCCCTCCCTTTCCCACTCTCTCTCTTCCTCTTTCTCCCTCTCTCTCACTCTCCCTCTCTTTCTATCCCTTAGTCCATCTCCTCTCTCTACCTGCTTTTTCCCTCATCTTTTCTTTTTCTCTCTCTTCCTTTCTCGCTTCTCCTTCTCTCCCTCTTTCTCTATCTCCCTCTTTATATTTTTTCTTCACTCTCTCTATTGATCTCAATCTTGCTCCCCATCTATCTCTCACCTTCTATCTCTCCCTCCCTCTCCCTCACCCTCTCTCCC